GTGCGCAAGTCCGATTCTTCCTTTCCTTTGGTTTCCCGCTTTACGACGGAGGCTGCCTGGCTGACTTCTCCAACTGCAGTCCCCCTTTATGATGCACGAGAATATTTGGTAGCTTTCCTTTCTTCCTCGAGCAGATGACTGTACGGCCTTCTGGGGTCACCATGCGCTTTTCAAGGGAAGTGTCATGGGGCCCGTAGTGAAATTGAACATCTATGCCTTTTCATCTGTGCATGCTGCGTGGCCCATATATGCACATCGTGGTGTCATACGCAAAGAGCAGCTCGCAGCCCCTCTAACCTAACGCCCTTGTAAAAATGCCTCAGTAAAGTTGGCCCTGTACCCTCAAAGCTTCTTGTAGCCCGTGCTCGCACTGTCCGAATCTCCTAGAAGCTGCCTCTCTTGAAAGTAAAACCCCTAAGATCTTGTCACTGCATATATATATTGATTTGTAGTAACAAACAACGACTCGAAGATAGCAGAGAGAGTATCACAGGTAAGACTTGCTACTAATTACATTGGGACGCATTGGGACAACAGGTCGTGGGTTTCGAATTGCGTCCTCCCCCAGTCGTAGGCCGAAGCGGGAACATGAGCTTGAGCCAGACCAAGATTAGCATCCATTCATTGCTTGCTATGTCGAGAGGAAACAGATCTATTCAACTATGGGGTTTCTGTGTCTAAAGGTCTGTGTTCAAACAAAGACACGGTCTGATAGTTGGCATATCAGATATTTCCAACAGCGCATGAGCGCTACGATGCCAATCCATGGTTGTCCAGTCCTACAACGCTACGCATGGCGCCGATGCTCCCGTCCCTGTTCCAGCGCAAGTGATCCTACATGTCCGTGTGTCAATCCCTGTATAGAACGCCGACCCCATCTAAATGCCATGATGCTGGATGAAAACGGAAAAAGTACATAAGCGGAACGTGTAGAGGGTTTATTTCAATCGTCCCATTCTTCGTCCAGATTGTCTATCAGACGGTCCTCGTCATCGTTTCGCCGACCATGGCGGCCGCTGTCGTGGCCCAGGGAGACGCGACTGTAGCCCCGGCGCGAGGGGAGGAAGCGCGCGCAGGATGAGGTGAGGATGATGAACATGTCCTGCTGCGCGTTAGTATTCGCGTGTTTTCTGTGCCGTTGGTGTTCTTACTCCGAGGAAGCCCCAGATCCCGGCCCAGAGCTGGTAGTTTGGCAGCTGTCTCCATCCACGCTGATGCATAACGGTCCGCTGGTACACCCAGCCACCGACCAAGTACACCAGCACGGCAATGAGGATGATGACGCCAAATACGCCCCCAGGGCCCAGTGCTTGCGTTTCGGCTTCCACGCCGCCACACGCGTGCGGTGAGCGGCCCTCGAAGAAGTACACGCACTCGTCTACCGCTGCGACGAAGGATATCGACGTCTTGGCGATGGGCTCGGCTTTCTCGCAGAGAAGGGAGATGACGGTCGTCTTGCGGCGCTCGGGCTCCTTGGGGCGGTCCTTTTCTTTGTCGCGGTCATCGCGCTCGTCAACGTCGTCGTTGGGGTCGAACAGGGCGCGTTTGGACTCGCGCTTGGAGGGGCAGAGCGAGCCGCCGGTGTAGTTGAGGACGAGCTTGCGGCCGCGGAAGATGGGCTCGTAGCTTTCGAGGCTGTGGGCGAGAGTTATGTTAGCTGCTGGCGGCCCCGGTGTGCTTGTATCGGAGCCGACTCACCCTAGGGCATACTGCTTGCTCCCGATCTCGTAGTATGCGCTCACGTTCTTCCACAGGTCCCTGTCCAGATCCTGGACGTCGGTCAACGTCTCCACCACGGGTCCGCAGAAGTTGATGGTGAAGTTGGCGCCGTAGTCGTAGCCCCGCGCGTGCCAGCTCTCCACGGCCTCGTCCTCCTTCCTCCGCTTGTCGCCGGGGTCCTTGGGCTTGCGGTGGATGGGGTTGAGGTCGAAGTAGCGCTCGGTGGTGGGGGACCGCACGGTACAGGGCTTCAAGGGCTTGGTGGCCTTGGAGGTGTCGGACGCGGCGGAGAAGTCGGCGGTGGCGAGCAGGCACAGCAGCGCCGACCAGAGGGCGGCCTTCATGATGAACAGCAAAGACGGCCGTCGAAAGCGCGGACAGGAGAGGATGCTTCGGCGACGTAGACGTTTGCTCAACGGGGGCTCGGCCGGCGCGCCGGCGACGTGCAGCAGGCGGCCGAGCAGCCCTTGGCGGTATGTGCGCGTCATGGGGGCTCTGCTCAGCTCGGGAGTCTGCAGTCCGGCCGGTGCTCTGATCGCACGACTCCTCGCAGAAGCCCCAGCTATAAAGAGGATTCCCCTTGCTCCCAAACCCTCCGCGTGGCGTGCGACCGGGCTGGCTGGAAACTGACACGATAACACGTCCCTGCAGCCCGCCATCGAAAAGCCCTTGGCACCGCGCCGTCTCGCCCCTTTCCTGGCCTGCCAAACAAAACACACGCCACGCCGCTGATATCGCTGCCCGCATCATGCCGCCAAAGCGCAAGATGCCGCAGTCTGCGTCCGCTCCCGACGAGTTCCATGGCTACGAGTTCCTCGGCCCGTAAGTTCGTCTGCCAATTGCTGTCTGCTCGCGCGACTGACAGCCCCCCGCAGCCCGGGGGCCTTCATCATCTCCTTCTTCCTGCCCTTGGTCTGCTATGCCTTGACGCTGTTCTGCAATGACGTCTCCGGCTGTCCCACTCCCTCCCTGCTCCACCCGTCCACCTTCAACTGGGACCAGTTCAAGAAGGAAATCGCCTGGACGGGCGTCTCTGGCCTCATCAACACCAACGCCGTTCTGGCCACCCTGGGCTACTATTTCCTCAGCTTGGCCCTGTATGCCTTCCTTCCGGCTGAGACGCCAGAGGGAACCGAGCTCAAGACGGGCGGACGGCTGAAGTATCGATTCAATGGTATGCCAAAGTCAAGTGCCCATGGCCGAGAGCTTGTGCTAACAGTATCCAGCCTTTGGCTCTGCAATCTTCATCATGGTCATTCTGGCCGCTGGAACGGCTGTCGAGGGCGCCGAATTCCCTGTCTGGGTCTTCATCTCCGACAACTTCGTTGCACTGCTCACCACCAACATCTTGATCGCCTATGCTTTGGCCTTGTTCGTCTACGTGAGGTCCTTCTCCGTCAAGCACCCCAAGGATCCTAGCAATCGCGAACTGGCCGATGGAGGTCGCAGCGGCAACATGCTCTACGACTGGTTCATTGGCCGCGAGCTCAACCCACGCATCACTGTGCCCGTCTTCGGGGAAGTCGACATCAAGTCCTGGATGGAATTGCGTCCGGGCATGCTCGGATGGGTCATCTTGGACCTCGCCTTCATCATGCAACAATACCGCAATTTTGGCAAAGTCACCGACTCCATCCTCCTCATCACCATCGCCCAGACAGTATATACATTTGACGCCTTGTACATGGAGCCTGCCATCATGACCACCATCGACATCATCGCCGATGGCTTCGGCTTCATGCTGTCGTTTGGCGATCTAGTCTGGGTGCCCTTCACCTACAGCATCCAGGCCAGATACCTCGCCACCTACCCCGTTCAGCTCGGCTGGCTGGGGATCGCAGGCGTCTTCGCCGTCCAGGGAACCGGCTACTACATCTTCCGTTCCGTCAACAACGAGAAGAACCGTTTCCGAACGAACCCCGACGACCCGCGCGTCTCGCATCTGAAATACATCGAGACGGCCGCAGGCTCTCGCCTCCTCATCACGGGCTGGTGGGGCACAGCACGTCACATTAACTACCTAGGTGACTGGTTCATGAGCTGGTCATATGTCCTCCCGACCGCGCTTGCAGGCTACACCATCCGCAATGCCGCCACACACCCCGTCACCGCATCTCAAACCGACGCCATCTTCTTCCAGAACAGCTACGGAAAGTACGTGGTGCCTGGTGAAGCCAAGGGCTGGGGCATGATCTTCACATACTTCTTCATGCTGTACTTTGCGATCCTGCTCGTGCACCGTGAGCGCAGAGACGAGGAGAAGTGCAGGAGGAAGTATGGCAAGGACTGGGACCGATATGTCGAGTTGGTGCCGTACAGGATAATACCGTACGTGTACTAAACGCGACAAGAGGTTGGGAGGGGAACAAGGAGGATAAGATGCAACGCTATCAGATCGATCGGATCTGGATCTGATTGAAGACGTGCATCTATAATGGCAGGATGCAATGCTATCGCTTGGTCGATTGAAGACATGCATTAAAAGGGATTGTATACTAGGCATGGGAAGATGCCATGCTACCGCCTGGTCGGTTGAAGACATGCATTTGGATTTGAAAGAGTGGAGGAGGATGACATGCTACCGCGCGGTCCGGTCAAAGACGTGCATCCGGTGGTAAAAAATAGGTGGGAGGGTGACACGCTATCACTATCCAGTGGTTGAAGACGTGCCCCAGAGAGTAATACTTAATATTTTGTAAGAATAATATAAAAGATTGGGTGCCATGCTACCGCGTCTAGGAATGGGCGCGGTTGAAGACATGCATCAAAAAAACGCGGATTCTGTTGATGCGAGGTGACGTGATGTACCGTGTCTCTACCACGTACAAGGTATCGTATGCATTGCAGTCTGTACGTCCCAACCGACTTTTTGAACTCTTGGAATTGCGGTTGATTGATGAGTCGATGTTTGCAAAAGTAGTTTTTTGGGCTGGGATGACTTGGGCTCCGGCACGCACAATTATACAAATTACTTCCTTTCCCATGAAATCAAATCAATTTCACACATGTGAGGCAGTGATACATGAATGCCCGGGGACGACTTTGCTACATATCCAGCACGCTTGGCGCTCGGCCAATAACGCAAGCAGAATAGGTACAACGACTAGCCCTAACCGATAGATAAACGTCGGACCTAAATTCAGAGCCGCAGGTACCCTTTTTGCCACCCTTGGCCCACTAGCCAGCCCCACCAGCGCAATCCCCTGCTTTCTCGTCGAAAAAAAATTCCACGTATATAAAAAGGATGACGCCACAATTTTATCTAATTCTCATATCTGAACGACACGATGGCCGAGTGGTCTAAGGCGAAGGTTTTAAGTTCGGCTTGTCTCATGGCATTACTTTCACCTTTACAGAAATGTGCGTGGGTTCGAACCCCACTCGTGTCAAACCATGCTTTTGATGGAGAGCGTTTCGTTTTTTACGATTCAGTTTCTTTTTTTGGTTGGCGGTTGCGACGTTCCTTGGGAGGTTGGGGGGAGGGGGAGGGTTTTTTGCCTCAGATAATACTTACGTCGGGTGTTGCACTTTTGCGCTACGATGTGTATAGGCCCGCACCGCGAGGCATACATACTTGTATAACTGCCTCTGTCTCGCTCATACTGGCTCTGGACAGATTCTCGAGGATGGATTTCCTGTTGGACATTGCGGGACACGATTCGGCCCGGGTAGTCCTTCCACATAAAATTATACTTCACAGCAACAGCAACGGAACCAATATAATAGCAGGTTTAGCCATTTGTAAGACGAGAGAGTGCGAGCTCTCATGGGCATGTTCTCGTCGGCCACATCCCTTTCCATTCCTCTTCTACTGTCCTGGCGCGCGGTCCAGTTCCGATGTTGATACCGGCATGGCAATTTCCAAGACGATAATGGGCATAAGAACTTTCGAGGCCATCAATCGCTCTCTCACTCTTGCTTGTTTCCGCAGCTAGCCTAGGTATGTGTGTGTGTGAGAGGGGTGGTTGTGGCAATGGTGGATGTAGAAACTCCGGGCGAATGGCAAAGTCAAGTCAAGACAAGTCAAGACAAGTCCAATCCATCCCAGGGAAAACCCCCAATGAAATCGAGCAAACCAAACTATCCGACCCAATCAGTTCAGTTCAATTCAATTCAATTCACAAAGTAACACTTTTGATGTAGAAGGAAATGCTTTTCGACAGCAATATGTACCGCAAAGGTCCGCACAGCACACAATATAAACAAGAAACGAAGTCCCCCCCCAAGTCCCCCCAAGACGCTCATCAATCCCCCAAACCCCATCAGTCCTCATAGCCTCAAACCCCCCCTCAGGAACACCTCTAGAAAGACAAAGTGTTACCCGCGGTACCCACAACAGCCGCCTTGACCGCCGACGCGGCAAGCAGGGTCGGAACGGCATACGGCACGCTATTCAGGGTCCCCGCAGCCGCCGTGTTGGCGCCGGTGCCGAAATCGTTGCCCTCGGCGACGGCGAAGCCGCCGTCGGTGCTGTAGAGCGGCTTCTTGGAGCCGACGAAGACGTTGTTCTGGACGAGGAGCTGGGCGCCCTGGCGGGTGTTGATGCCGTCCGACACATTGTCGTAGTAGTTGTTGAAGATGTGGCCGGTGCCGAAGCGGAACGAGGGCCCGCGCGAGTTGAGGTTCTGGAGGTGGTTGAAGGCGTAGGTGACGGTGAGATGGCCCTTGTCCTCTGCGCCGTTCGAGTCCGAGTGCCCGACGAGCGAGGCCTTCCAGTGGTCGTGCAGGTATGTGTTGGTGATGGTGACGTAGTCGACTGCGTGGGTCACGTCGAGGAGGCCGTCGTAGTAGTCTTTGTCGTGGTCGCGGTCGGAGCTTAGGTCGAGGTGGTCGATCCATACATTTTGAGCCTTCTGTATCGCAACCGCATCGCCGCCAATGACTTTGGAGATGGCTAGATTGCGGATGATTACATTCTTTACCCCTTTCACTGTCAACGTGAAGCCGGAGAGCTTGGCGCTGGAGTCCTTTCCGATGACGCTCTTGTTGGAGCCGATCTTGACGTTACCGGTGCTGGCAATTGGTCCTGAAACGACAACGATGCGAGCCGTATCGTCGGCGACAGCTGCGGTGAACTGGGCAAAGGATGAGACGGTGGTAGTACTTCCTCCATTCCCACCTGTGGTGCCGCCATTTTCAGTGGCGTAGCCGGTCGTTGGAACATCAGTGAGGGAAGCAGCACGCTTTGCCAACGTTCCTCGCTTCTCCTCAATAGTTGGTGTCGGTGCTGCCAAAGCAAGAGCCGATAGGCCAAGAGGGAGGAAAGATGTGAGCTTCATTGTGATAGACTATAGATGAGGGAGAGTGAAGAACAAAGAGTGGAGAGAATCTAGGTAGCTGAAGGAATGAAAGCAGACCAGGCTGATAAAGAACGAACATTGCGGCAACAGCTAGGCCATTATATATCTATTCAATATCGACATTCAAGCAGCTCCCAGCTCCACCCCTCGCGCTTTCGACATCGCAAGGATATGTCCCTATGTTGTCCTACCCGAGCACCGTGTTTCAATCAAATCTTGCACCAATCGAACGATGTCAAAGTAGGCCAGGCGCGCGAAACGGAGTCGGAGGGAAAGCCTTAAATGTCAGGAGCCGTTCCACAAACAAAACCAGAGGATGCGATGCGCCTCTTGGCACCATAATATCTTCGAAACAACCATGCCCATCACAGCCGAGAGTCTCCACCTGTAAACGCGTCGGACGAACCGTTTCGAGAACAAGGGTGTATCAAAGGCAAAAGTAACCGCATCTCTTGTTTGTTAGATTGAAGCACGGGTTGAGGGTGGACAGGAGACGTCGTGGCGTGTTCGAAGGGCCTCCCGAAACTGTCAGTAGCATTCCGAAATACCTGTTGCGATGCCACAACTCGCATCGTGGAAGCTTAGCATCGGGTCGTACCCGGTATGCACTTTGGAGAAGGTGGTCTTCTGCATCTGGTTCCAATCGGAAGAATAAACATAATGGACATCTATAGCACTATGCGGATATTAAGCAGATCTGTGCATTCCCCCAAGGATCCCCGCGCGTATGCAGTGTGACCATCGGTTGCGTGCGCGGAAATATCTTGCGAATGAACAGCTGTTGATATCTAGCGATTGGATTTGGCGGAACATCTGATTCCGTGTATCTGCAGATGTGCAATGATTTTAATGCTTGAAGGAAGATTCGGACAGGGGAAAAGGGAGATGAAAACGACGACGACGCATTTATGTTCGTCTTATGCAACAACAAACATCTGTTACATATTGCTGCAGGGGTGGCTGGGGCGAAGGAATAGACGATAGAGAAAAAGGAGGAGAAGCAGACCATTGTGGCGTGAGAGTATGAGAAGCTTATAAATGATTGAGAGTGGAGTTAAGACTGTCAATGTTGCTCGAAGACACTTCCCTCATATTCCACAGGTCTCGAGAACAGCAGACAGCCCTAGGCCGAGTCGAGGCGATCTGTTGCTCAGGAGCGGTGCATGATGTCGAGATGAAGTTCAGATGAAAGCGTAAATGGTGGCTAGGTAAGAGGTGCGCACCACGCACGTGGTGTGACATCATCGGCAATTGCTGCTGCCTTTGAGAAGTCGTCGCGTTGTTCTTTCCTTACTTACCCTACCCAAGAAGACTTATTTAACATCTCTCTACCCTCTTCCTGCTCTTCAATCGCAACCTTTTAAACTCTATCCAGTTGCTCTCCTACCTTCAATCCAGTCTTCTCATCAAACCGCCAACACCACAGCTCCAAAGTACAACCACCCATCACACCACAATGCCGCCCATCCCCATCCACAAAAACGACCCCATCGCGCCCGTCGCCGCAAAGCCCGACGGCATAACCCCCCAGACCGCCAACCCTCCACCAACCCGCACAACCCCCGCCTCCGTCCCCGCAACCACAACCTCCAACTCCTCCTCCAACCCACCAGCACCGCAACCCGGCGCGCGCCCCCTCGCCCCAACCTCCACCCAAGCCCAGCCACCCTCTTCCACCCCTCCTGCCCCCCAGCCCGGCTACACAGCAACCCACACGACAACCGAGACGCGCCTCGGCGGCCCCCCCGCCCAATTCACCATCCCGCCACCCTCAGACACGCAGCTCGCGGGGCGATCGACAACGACGGCGACGCAGGCATCGAAGCCCGGCCCTACCATGCTGAATCTTGGACCTGCAACGTCGCAGTATCAGAGTGAGCATTCGCAGGATGCGGTGCCGACGAGGGCGAGCGGCGAGGAGAGGAGGAGCCTGGAGCATCCGCCGGGGTATGCGCAACATCCGGACAATAGTCCCTATACAGCTGCAACAACAGGAGGGCAACAGGGCACTGGAGAGGATGCAGGTGCTGGTGGAGCTGCGTGGGGTTTGCTGAGCAAAGCTGGCGAGGCTTTGAAGAAGGGCGAGGAGGCCGCGTGGCGGGCGGTTCGAAGTAAGTGATGCGGAACATATCAGGACAGAACATTGTCTTTAGTCTGTACTCAGATATCTACATACGGCGTTTGGGCAGGCTTGATGCAATTGGAGGGCTTTAGGTATCGGGATGAAAACTCTTGATGAGAATTACGGTCGGACGGCTTCAGGCACCACAATACATCACACATATAGCAATCAACGAGTAATTGATGAAACCGCAGAACTTCTATAGACCACTATTTTCCACCTGGTTCACCAAAACAACGGAAGCATCAAAAGGAAAAGGGTAAATAGAGTAAGCAATGCAAGCCGAGGATGACGTTGTGTAATACAGGGTGCTGTGAGAGGGAAAAAGAGTTGCCGGCAAAGTAAAGTACAAGGTGTGTTACCACCGCCATCGTGCTTTTCGTTGACCAGAACAATCTTCTGCCCAAGCGGGCTTGTTATTGCTCTATCCAGTCTACCACCACCACCACACCCCTCGTCCCCTTTACGCCACGATTATCTGCCTCCACCACATAGGTCCGGTATTGGGTATTCGAGAGTAGATGAGACGTTTAACCCGATCCACCCTTGAACTTCTTGCCGAACATGATGAGCTGGGCCTGGTCGTAGATGGAGAGCACACCAGCACCGGCAACACCACGGAGGATGTTGGCACCGGCACCCTTGAAGAGAGACTTGACACCCTCAGCGGCGATGATCTTGCGACCAGCATCGAGGGAGGAAGAGTACTTGACGGCCTGGAGATGGGTTAGCACGTGATAGTAAAGGTTAGTGAAACAGTGGGGGAGCTTACCTCGCCGGAAGTCATCATCATGCGACGACGGATGGTATCCAGAGGGTAGGAAGCGATACCGGCACCAGTGGTGACAGTCCAGCCGAGCAAGAAGGAGGCCAAGAAGTTGCCCTCGAGGTTACCGGTGAGGACGACGGGCTTCAGGGAGTCGTACATGCCGAAGTACAGACCACGGTAGACGACTATGCCAAGAAC